CTTCTTTCTTTCCTTCCTTCCTTCCTTCCTTCCTTCCTTCCTCCTCTCTCTTCTTTCCTTTCTTCTTTTGCTTCCTTCTTTCCTTCCTTCCTTCTTTCTTTCTTCTTCCTTTCTTCCTCTTCCTTTCCTTTCTTTTTTCCTTTCTCCCTCCTTCTTTCTCTTTCTTTCTTTCTTCTTCTCTTCTTTCTTTTTCCCTCCTTTCCTTCCTTCTTTCTTCTTCTCCTTCTTTCCATTCTTCCTTCTTTCCTTCTTCCCCTCCTCTCTTTCTTTCTTCCTTTTTCTCCCTTCCTTCCTTCCTTCCTTCCTTCTTCTTTTCCTCCTCCTTCTTCTTTCCCTCCCTCTCTTTCTTCTTCCTTTTTTTCCTTTCCTCCTTTCTATCTCTTTTCTTCCTTCCTTCCTTCCTCCTCCCTTCCTCCCTCCCTCCCTTCCTTCCTTCTTTCACCTCCTTTCTTTTCTTTTCTTTCTTTCTTTCTTTCTTTCTTTCTCTCTCCTTTCTTTCTTTCTTTCTTTCTTTCTTTCTTTCTTTCTTTCCTTTCTTTCTTCTTCCTTCCTGCTGGTACTGAGAGGAAGCCACAGGGAGGAGGGAGCAAGCTTCCTTTCTGCTTCCCTGGAGACTAGGACGCAAGGGAACAATGGCTTCAAACTACAAGAGAGGAGATTCCATCTGAACATGAGGAAGAACCTGACTGTGAGAGCCGTTCAGCAGTGGAACTCTCTGCCCCGGAGTGTGGTGGAGGCTCCTTCTTTGGAAGCTTTTAAACAGAGGCTGGATGGCCATCTGTCAGGGGTGCTTTGAATGCAATATTCCTGCTTCTTGGCAGAATGGCGTTGGACTGGATGGCCCAGGAGGTCTCTTCCAACTCTTTGATTCTAGGATTCTATGATTCCTCCTTCCAATCTTCTTTTCCTTCTTTCCTTCCTTCTTCCTCCCTTCCTTCCTTCCTTCTTCCTTCCTTTCTTCCTTTCTTCCTTTCTCCCTCTCCTTTTTAAAGAATATATTATTCATCGATATCCCTCCTTTCTCCAATACTGGGACCTTTCTTTCCTTTCTCCTTCCTCCTTCATTCCTTCTTTCTTTCTTTCTCCTCATTATTATTAATTCCTTTTATTTTATTCTGCTACGCATCCCAGCTTAATCCAACTGCGAGACTCACGGTGGCTGAGAATCTATTTTTTTCCCCAGTTTTATCTCCTTCCATCTTTCTTTCCTTCACTCCCTTCTTTCTTTCTTCTCACTATTAGTACTTTCTTTATTTTTAGTCATTTATAAACCCACTTTCTCCCATTGTGAGACTCAAGGTGGCAGAGAGTCCATCTTTTTTTCCTTACTTCCTTCCTCCCTTCCTTGACTCCCTCTCTCTCTCTCTCTTTCAATTTTTCTTTCTTTTTTCTTCCTTCTTTTCCTTCCTTCCTTCCTTCCTTCCTTCCTTCCTTCTCCTTCTTTCCTTCCTTCCTCCTTTACTTTCTTCCTCCTTCCTTTCCTTCCTTTTCCCTTTCCTTCCTTCCCTGCTTCCTTCCCTTTCCTCCCTCCCTTCCCTTTCCTCCCTCCTCCCCTTCCTTTTCCCCTTTTTTTTCCTGCCTTCCCTCCTTCCTTATTCCTTTCCTTCTTCCTCTTTCCCTTCCTTTTTCTTTCATTCCTTCCTGCCTTCCCTGCTTCCTTCCTTTTACTCTTTCCTTCCCTGCTTCCTTTTTTCCTTACTCCCTTCCTTATTGCCTGCTTCTCTTCCTTTTCCTTTCTTACAATATATCATTCTTTCCTTTCTCATCCCTTCATTCTGTCTTTCCTTCTTTCTTTATTTATTTATTTCTTTCTTTCCTTTCTTTCTTTCTTTCTTTCTTTTCTCTTTTTTCTTTCTTCCTTTTTTTACTTTTCACTTTATCTGCACCCTCTTTTTTACTTTTTCCTTTTTTCATATTACTTCCTTACTTCACTGTCCGCCTATCTCTTCTTTCATTCCTTCCTTCCATCCCTTCTCTTCTTTCTTTTTTCTTTTCTTTTTTCCTTCCTCCCTTCCTTCTTTTCTTTCCTTCCTTCCTCCTTCCTTCTCCCTCCTCTCTTTCCTTCTTCTTCCTTCTTTCTTTTCTCCCTTCTTTCTTCTTTCTTTTCTTTCTTTTTCATTTATATTTCCACTTTTTTATAACAGGGTGGCTGAGAGTCCTTTCTTTCTTTCTTTTTCTTTCTTTCTTTCTTTTTCGTTGTACTGTTAGAAAATGTTGACCATTTCCACTCCCTTGGCAGCCACCCCTCCACCAAAGTCAACATCGACACCGAAATACAACACCGCCTGAGCTCTGCAAGTGCAGCATTTTCCGAATGAAGCAGAGAGTGTTTGAGGACTGGGACATCCGTAGGGAGACCAAGGGGCTTGTTTACAAAGCCATTGTCCTCCCAACCCGGCTAAATGCCTGCAAGACGTGGACAGTCTACAGACGTCACATGCAACTCCTGAAACGATTCCATCAGCGCTGCCCCTGGAAAATCCTGCAAATCTCTTGGGAAGACAGGCAGGCAACTGTCAACGTGCTGGAAAAAGAAGCAAAGACCACCAGCATTGAAGCGATGCTCCTCCGCCACCAACTCCGCTGGACCAGCCACGTTGTCCGGATGCCCGACCACCGTCTCCCAAAGCAGCTGCTCTACTCCCAACTCACGAACGGAAAACGTAATGTTGGAAGACAGGAAAAGAGATTGAAAGACGGGCTTAAAGCCAACCTGAAAAACAGTGGCATAGACACCAAGAACTGGGAGCCCTGGCTCTTGAGTGCTCCAACTGGAGGTCAGCTGTGACCAGCAGTGCTTCAGAATTTGAAGAGGCACGAACAGAGGATGAAAGAGAGAAAGATGCCAAGAGAAAGGTGTGTCAAGCCAACTCTGTCCAGGACCGCCTTCCATCTGGAAACCGATGCCCTCACCGCGGAAGAATATGCAGGTCAAGGGCTCCACAGCCACCTACGGACACACCGCCAGGACACCGAATCTGGAAGACAATCTTACTCTGTCAATGAGGGATCAGCTAAGTAACTAAAGCATCTACACTGTAGAATTAATGCGCTTTGACACCCCCTGGAACTGCTATCGCTCAATGCTATGGAATCATAGGAATTGTATCTTTGCAAGCTCTTTAGCCTTCTCTGCTACCAAACTACAACTCCCAGGATTCTATACCTTGGAGCCATGGGCGTTCAAGTGATGCCAAAGTGCGTTGTGTAGTCTAGCCTCACCTCCAGACACTACATGGAAATCAATGTGTCAGAGGAGAGAAGCCCAAAGTTAGCAGAGGTTGAGTTTTCTGGGCTGTCTGGCCATGTTCCAGAAGCATTCTCTCCTGACGTTTCGCCCACATCTATGGCAGGCATCCTCAGCAGTGGTTAGGTCTGTTAGAAACTACACAAGTGGGGTTTGTATTTCTGCTCTGCTCACTCTCTGCTCCTCTTAAAGACTGCCAATGTGGGGGTTTGCCTGATATCCTTAGGAAGTGAGTTCCAGAGTCGGGGGGCCACCACAGAGAAGGCCTCTCCCTCATTATAGGGAACTAGCCATCCCCTGCCACGTGTTGCTGTAGCCCACATGGGGGTTCTGTGTGGGAGGTTTGGCCCAATTCTATCCTTGGTGGGATTTGGAATGCTCTTTGATTGTAGGTGAACTATAAATCCCAGTAACTACAACTCCCAAATGTCAAGGTCAATTTCCCCCAAACTCCATCTGTGTTTATATTTGGGCATATTGCGTATTCGTGCCAAGTTTGGTCCAGATCCATCATTGTTTGAGTCCACAGTGCTCTCTGGATGAAGGTGAACTACAACTCCCAAACTCAAGGTCAGTGCCCACCAAACCCTTCCAGTATTTTCTGTTGGTCATGGGAGTTCTGTGTGCCGAGTTTGGTTCAATTCCATCGTTGAAGGAGTTCAGAATGCTCTTTGAATGTAGGTGAACTATAAATCCCAGTAACTACAACTCCCAAATGTCAAGGTCAATTTTCCCCAAACTCCATCTGTGTTCATATTTGGTCGTATTGAGTGCTTGTGCCAAGTTTGGTCCAGATGCATCATTGTTTGAGTCCACAGTGCTCTCTGGATGAAGGTGAACTACAACTCCCAAACTCAAAGTCAGTGCCCACCAAACCCTTCCAGTATTTTCTGTTGGTTATGGGAGTTCTGTGTGCCGAGTTTGGTTCAATTCCATCATTGATGGAGTTCAGAATGCTCTTTGATTCTAGGTGAACTATAAATCTCAGCAACTACAACTCTCAAACTCAAGGTCAGTGCCCTCCAAACCCTTCCAGTATTTTCTGTTGGTCATGGGAGTCCTGTGTGCCAAGTTTGGTTCAATTCCATCGTTGGTGAAGTTCAGAATGCTCTTTGATTCTAGGTGAACTATAAATCCTAGCAACTACAACTCCCAAATGACAAAATCATATTTTTTTTGTGTTGTGAGACATTTTGTTGCCAAATTTGGTGTGATTTCGTTCATTGGTTCTTTTGTTTTTAAGGTACTAATTATGCACAAAGCATTTATATATATATAGATTATTATGGGATCATTCCAGACTGGTGTCCTTGGCAAAACTATGAATTCCCTGATTCTAAACTATCTTATAGGGCCCGGGGGGGGGGGGGGTCACCTCTGAGTACACTTACATGTTAGCAGGTTGGACTACATGACCTTTGGGGTTCCCTTCCAACTCTGTGAGGCTATGAATCCCTTTCCCAGTTCAGGCAAGAGATTTTCCCAGTTTGCCCAGTAACTGTTCACATTTGAAACAATTGCTTTGTATAAACAGATGTGGAAAAACACCGGCACATTGTATATTAACCTTTGGATGAGTAGAGGCTGTCTTATCAAGGGTGGCCTTTGAAACGGTGCGCATGGAAAATCCCCAGGGTCAAGATAACCCTCCCTTTGGGATCTATGGGATTTGTAGTTGGCTAAGAGTCACAAAGGACTCTGGAGAGCAATGCAATGGAGCATCATATGAGAAACAATGCACGCAAGAGAAATATAGAAACCAAAGTATATTTTATTGTTACAGATCCAAAACAAAGGAAGAGGAGCGGGCGGGGCGATGCAAGGTTTGCACAAGGTGTTAAAAGAGAGATCTTGCACGAAGGTTACAAACAAGGACCAAAAAGAGGAATGCGCAGGAGACTAATTCGCCAAAATGGCCGCACTTTGGCCAAGGAGAAGACGTGGGGAAACGGTAGACTCTCACTTAACCGGCATTGAAAGTATGATGTCTTTGACTGTTTTTTCCCCACTCGTTCCTTGAGAGTTCCGGTTAACTGAGAGTCGACAATATTACTAACCACAGACTGTATTTTGCTTTTTATTTGTGGTATTATTATTATTATTTCTTCAATTATTATTTTGTTGCCAGTTGCTTGAGAGTTCCGGTTAACTGAGAGTCTACGGTGTTGTGTTAGTAGTTAGTACTTGGCATGGAGCATTGAAGCAGGTCTTGGCTTTTGCTGGTGAACTCAGAACTCCGGTTAACTGGGAGCTCTGGTTAACTGAGAGTTCCACTTAACTGGCAGTTCTGGTTAACTGAGAATTCTGGTTACCAGAGGGAGCCCTGGTTAACTGGGAGTCCAAGTTAACTGAGAACTCTGGTTAATTGAGAGCTCCAGTTAACTGAGACTTCTGGTTATCAGGGAGTTCTGGTTAATTGAGAATCCCAGTTAACTGAGAGTTCTGATTAACTGGCGGTCCAGATTAACTGAGAGTTCCAGTTAACTGAGACTTCTAGTTACCAGAGAGCGTTCTAGTTAACCGAGAGTGTTCTGGTTAAACTGAGAATTCCAATTAACAAAATGTTCTGCTTAACTGAGACTTCTGGTTACCAGAGAGGGTTCTGTTTAACTGAAAGTCTAAGTTAACTGAGAGTCCCAGTTAACTGAGAGCTCTGGATAACTGAGAGTTCTGGATTACTGAATATAATATTGACAGTTGTGATTAACTAAGATTTCTGGTTAGAGAGTTCTGTCTAACTGAGAATTCTGGTTAACTGGGAGCTCTGGTTAACTGAGATTTCTGGTTACCCAAGACAGTTCTGGCTAACTGAAAGTGTTCTCGTGACCAGAGTGTTCTGGTTAACTAAGAGTCCCAGTTAATGGAGTTCTGGCTAACTGAGAATTCTGGTTAACTGAGAGTCCTGTTTTACTGGCAGTTCTGGTTAACTGAGATTTTTGGTTAACTGAGATTTCTGATTACCCAAGAGAGTTCTGGCTAACTGAAAGTCTTCTGGTTACCAGCATGTTCTGGTTAACTGAGAGTCCCAGTTAACGGAGCTCTGGCTAACTGAGAATTCTGGTTAACTGAGAGTCCTGTTTTATTGGCAGTTCTGGTTAACAGAGACTTCTGGTTAACTGAGATTTCTGGCTACCAGCATGTTCTGGTTAACTGAGAGTCCTGGTTCACTGCCAGTTCTGGTTACTAAGATTTCAGGTTACCCAAGAGAGTTCTGATTAACTGAGATTTCAGGTTACCCAAGAGAGTTCTGGCTAACTGAGAATTCTGGTTAGCTGAGATTTCTAGTTACCCAAGAGAATTCTGGCCAACTGAAAGTGTACGGATTACCATACTGTTCTGCTTAACTGAGAGTCCCAGTTAAATGAGAGCTCTGGTTAACTGAGAATTCTGGTTAACTGAGAGTCCCAGTTAAATGAGAGCTCTGGCTAACTGCGAATTCTGGTTAACTGAGAGTCCTGGTTCACTGGCAGTTCTAGTTAACTGAGATTTCAGGTTACCCAAGAGAATTCTGGCCAACTAAAAGTGTGTGGATTACCATACTGCTCTGGTTAACTGAGAGTCCCAGTTAAATGAGAGCTCTGGCTAACTGAGAATTCTGGTTAACTGAGAGTCCCGGTTTACTGGCAGTCCTGGTTAGGCAAGACTTCTGATTAACTAAGCTTTCTGGTTGTCCAAGGGGGTTCTGGCTAACTGAGAGTGTTCTGGCTAACTGAGAGTCCCAGTGAAGTGATAATTCCGGTTAACTGAGAGCTCCGGTTAACTGAGAGTCTGCTGTTGTGGGTTTACATGTGAGAAGGGTGCCAGGCAGGAGGAGAGAGTGGGTGAGTGTGAGGTTAGTGCAGGCAGGGGCAAACTTGGGCCCTCCAGGTGTTTTGGACTCCAACTCCCATCATTCCTAACAGCCGGTAGGCTGTTAGGAATGATGGGAGTTGAAGTCCAAAACACCTGGAGGGCCCAAGTTTGCCCATGACTGGGTTAGTGCCAAAGAGTCCCGGGAGGGCCAGGCCTTTGCTTCCTATGTGCATGCTGGCGCATGACTTGCGCATGACCTGCGCATGACTTGCGCATGACTGCGCACCTGTGTTCAGGCCTGGAGGGCCTTGACCTTCTCGACCAGGGCCTGGAACTGGGAGGAGACGTCCTCCAGGAAGGGGGCGAACCACTGCTGGAGGGCTTGGGCGGCCTGGTCAAAGGAGCCTTGGACCTCCTGGGCTTTCTGGCGCAACTGGTCGTGGAGCTCGAGTGCGCGCCCGCTGAGCTGCTGGTGCACCATCTTGCCTTGCTCGCCCACGGCCTGGCCCAGAGCCTGCAGTCGCTGCTGCCCGCGCTCCCGGATGTTGGAAAGGTAGGGCTCCAGTCCCTGGCGCACGGCGTCCACCTTCTCGTCGGTGCTGGCGCGCACCTCCCGGGCGTACTCGGCCATCTTGCGGCGCAGCTCCTCCGTGTCCTTGGCCAGGCGCTTCTTCAGCTTGCGCAGGAAGAGCCCCAGCTGGGAGCGCACCACCTCCAGGTTGTGGTCCAGCATCAGCCGGGCGTCGCTGGTGTACTGCACGATCTTGCCCTTGGTCTCCTCCATGTCCGAGCGCAGCTTCTCCGACAAGGCCGACACCTCGCTGGTCAGGCGCTGCTGGGCGTCCTGTGCGTACGGGCCAAACTTGGAGCGAAGGTCCTCCGTGTAGAGGTCCAGCTCCGCCATGGTGTCCGTGATGAGGCCGCTGAGGGGAAGCAAAGGAGGAAAAGGGTCGGGATGGATGGCCTCTAGGGTCCCCAGTTGGAAATGCTAGGACTATGGCAAAACAGGGTCAGACTAGATGACCTTTGGGGTGCCCTTCCACCTCGTGGGCCCCTGATCGGAAATGCTAAGACAAAGCCTTGGATTATATGGCAAAACAGGGTCAGACTGGATGGCCTTTGGGGTGCCCTTCCACCTTGAGGGTCCCTGAAATGAAATGCTAGGACTAAGTCTTGGATTGCATGGCAAAGCAAGGTCAGACTGGATGGTCTTTGGGGGTCCTTTCCACCTCTAGGTTCCCTGAAATGAAATTCTTGGACTAAGTCTTGGAATGCATGGCAAAACAGGGCCAGACTAGATGGCCTTTGGGGTGCCCTTCCACTTCTATGTTCCCTGAAATGTAATGCTAGGACTAAGACTTGGATTGCATGGCAAAACAGGCTCAGACTGGATAGTCTTTGGGGTGCCCTTCCACCTGCAGGGTCCCCGATTTCAAATGCTAGGACTAAGCCTTGGATTGCATGCAAAATAGTGTTTGACTAGATGGCCTTTGGGGTGCCCTTCCATCTCAAGGGTCCTTGATCTGAAATGCTAGGACTAAGCCTTGGATTGCATGGCAAAACAGGGTCAGACTGGATGGTCTTTGGGGATCCTTTCCACCTCTAGGGTTGCCGATTGGAAATGCTAGGACTAAGCCTTGGATTGCATGCAAAATAGGGTCGGACTAGATGGCCTTTGGGGTCCCTTCCACCTCAAGGGTCCCTGATCTGAAATGCTAGGAGACTAAGCCTTGGATTACATGGCAAAACAGGGTCAGACTGGATGGACTTTGGGGGTCCCCTCCACCTCCAGGGTCCCTGATCGGAAATGCTAAGACTAAGCCTTGGATTACATGGCAAAACAGGGTCAGACTGGATGGCCTTTGGGGTGCCCTTCCACCTCGAGGGTTGATCTGAAATGCTAGGACTAAGCCTTGGATTGCATGGCAAAACAGGTCAGACTGGATGGTCTTTGGGGTGCCCTTCCACCTCTATTTCATCTGAAATGCTAGGACTAAGCCTTGGATTGCATGCAAAATAGGGTCGACTGGATGGCCTTTGGGGCCCTTCTGAGTTGGTGCCTATTGGAAATGCCAGGACTAAGCCTTGGATTACATGGCAAAACAGGGTCAGACTGGATGGCCTTTGGGGATTCCTTCCACATTGAGGGTCCTTGATCTGAAATGCTAGGACTTAGCATGCCAACAACTTTGGGACAATTTCATCCTAGATGTTCTGTTTTTCCTCCAGAATGGACATCCCAGGATTCCTCACTCTCTCCATTGGTGTGGAATTTAGATGACCCACTGCTTTTCCCTTAACCCCCCTTCCTACCTTTTCCTATGGCACACAGCAAATAGGAATTGATCAACAACTTGGGGGCAATTTCATCCTAGATGTTCTGTTTTTCCTCCAGAATGGACATCTCAGGATTCCTCACTCTCTCCATTGGTGTGGAATTTAGATGACCCCACCCACTGCTTTTCCCTTAACCCCCTACCTACCTTTTCCTATGGCACACAGCAAATAGGAATTGATCAACAACTTGGGGACAATTTCATCCTAGATGTTCTGTTTTTCCTCCAGAATGGACATCTCAGGATTCCTCACTCTCTCCATTGGTATGAAATTTGCATGACCCCACCCACTGCTTAGAACCAAGGCCATCCAAGCCAGAATTGAAAAGTCCACCACAGATCCCAAGTGTAGACTCTGCAAGGAAGCAGGTGAAACAATGGATCCCATCCTCAGCTGCTGCAAGAAGATCGTGGACAGACTCCAAGCAGAGGCACAACACTGTTGCTCAGATGATTAGTTGGAACTTGTGCCACAAACACCATCTGCCTGCCACAAAGAACTGGTGGGATCACAAGCTGGAAAGAGTTACAGAGAATGAACACGTCAAGCTACTCTGGGACTTCCGGATTCAGACAGACAGAGTTTTGGAGCAGAATACTCCTGACCTCACCATCGTGTTAAAAAACAAAATATGGATCATCAATGTCACAATCCCAGGTGATTTCAGAGAAACAACTGGAAAAGCTGACACAATATGAGGATTTAAAGATCGAACTGCAAAGGCTCTGGCACAAGCCAGTCAAGGTGGTCCCAGTGGTGATCGGCACACTGGGTGCAGTGCCTAAAGACCTTGGCCTGCACTTAAACACAATTGGCGCTGACAAAATTACCATCTGCCAGCTGCAGAAGGCCACCTTACTGGGATCTGCACGCATCATTCAAAAATACATCACACAGTCCTAGACGCTTGGGAAGTGTTCGACTTGTGATTTTGTGATACGAAATCCAGCATATAGATCTCGTTTGCTGTGACATACTGTGTTTTTGTGTCAATAATAATAATAATAATAGTAATAATATACATCACACAGTCCTAGACACTTAGGAAGTGTTTGACTTGTGATTTTGTGACATGAAATCCAGGATATATATCTCGTTTGCTGTGACATATTGTGCTTTTGTATCAGTATAATAATAATAATAATAATAATAATTATTATTATTATTATTATTATTATTATTATTAGACACTTGGGAAGTGTCCGACGTGTGATCCAATTCAACAGCCAGCCGAGTGTCTGTTGTGGACTCATCTTGTTGTGTTTCTAATAATAATAATAATAATAATAATAATAATAATAATAATAATAATGTTCAGATAGGGTCACACTGGATAGCCTTTGGGGGTCCCTTCCAACCCTTTAAAATCATAGAAGCCTAGAGCTGGAAGAAACACCAAGGGACTCCCAAATCTGGCTACCAGTTTTTAAAAAACCTCCGAAATTAGGACAGTAAATAAAGAGCAACACTCAAACACAGGGGAACTCCAGACAAGAAACAACTAGGGCCAGCTAATCACCTCCCAACAAAGGATTCCCCACAGGCAGTAAGAAGCCAGACCTTGAAACTGCTAGGCCATCAAATGCTAATCAAGGTGGGCCCATAACAACATTCACACCTGTCTCCAATAGACAAGAGTTCTTTCTCCCACCCTGGACATAATTCCATTGATATCTAAACCTTGCTTTCCTAGTTTCCAACAGACCTCAAAGTCTCTGAGGATACCTGCCATAGATGCAGACAAAACGTCAGGAGAGAATGCTTCTGGACCATGGCCATATTGCACACCCCTTTGCAATATGCTGACTTGCAAAGTGTAGGGCTTCAAAGTCAGTCAGCGGAGCCAGAAACTGCAACATTAGATAAGGAGTTGGGTGAAGAGACCTCACAACTTCTGAGGATGCCTGCTATGGATGCAGGTGAAACGTCAAGAGAGAATGCTTCTGGAACATGGCCATATTGCACACCGCTTACAATATGCTGACTTGCAAAGTGCAGGGCTTCAAAGGCAGTCAGAGGAGCCAGAAATTGCAACATTAGATAAGGAGTTGGGCGAAGAGACCTCACAACCTCTGAGGATGCCTGCTATGGATGAAGGCGAAACGTCAGGAGAGAATGCTTCTGGAACATGGCCAGACAGCCTGGAAAACTCACAACAATGCAGTATTTCATTTCTCCAAGCTAAACCTATCCAACTACCATAGGACCTGGCTTAGAGTTGGGAGGGTCCCCCAAAGGCCATCCAACCTGACCCTATTATGCTATGTAAGGAAGGCACGTCCCAAAGCCTGGCTTTAGAAACTTAAAAAGGAAGTGTAGAGTTCAAAGGGTTCACCAAAGGCCATCCAACCTGACCCTATTATGCCATGTAAGCAAGGCACAACCAAAATTTATTTATTTATTTCCTATATTTAATACCCCTCCTCCAAAGTCCATCCAATCTGACCCCAATCTGACTCCCCCCAAAGGCCATCCAACCTGACCCCAATCTGACCCCCCAAAGGCCATCCAATCTGACCCCCCAAAGGCCATCCAACCTGACCCCAATCTGACCCCCCAAAGGCCATCCAATCTGACCCCCTTCCGCCCAGCCACTCTGACCCCCATCTGACCCCCCAAAGGCCATCCAACCTGACCCCAACCTGACCCCCCAAAGGCCACCCAATCTGACCATCCGCCCCCAAAAGTCCACCCAACCTGACCCAAATCTGACCCCCCCCAAAGGCCATCCAACCTGACCCCAATCTGACCCCCCAAAGGCCATCCAATCTGACCCCCCAAAGGCCATCCAACCTGACCCCAATCTGACCCCCCAAAGGCCATCCAATCCGACCCCCCAAAGGCCATCCACTCCACCCCCAATCTGACCCCTCAAAGGCCATCCAATCTGACCCCCATGCTGACCCCCCAAAAGGCCATCCAACCTGACCCCAATTCTCACCCTCCCCCCCCAAAGTCTATCCAATCTGATCTCAATCTGACCCCCCAAAGGCCATCCAACCTGACCCTATTATGCCATGCAAGGAAGGCATGACCCAAAGCCTGGCTTGAGAAACTTAAAAGGGAAGCGTAGTGTTGGGAGGGTCCCCCAAAGGTCATCCAACCTGACCCTGTGTTTTGGGGGCATGTAAATGCACATATATCTTTCAAACTCAGAACTCGACCCCTTGCAAGAAGGGAAAAGCAAAGGGACTCACTCCAGTTCTTTGCTAATCTGCGAGCTCTTGATCTGAGCCGTGACGTCGTCGGCCGCGTTTCCCACTTGGGAGACATAGTCCCAAAAGGACTCTACGGTTTCCTCCCATTTGGTTTTCGCCTCCTCTTGGACAAGCGGGTTGGCCCAGGAGCCTGGGTTGGAAAGAGAATGAAAAGCAACAATATTCAAGACGGGAATACATTATGCAACACAATTTCTGTTCCTGGGTTTTCAGTGTGCCATCGTGCCTCAGGTCTATAACTCTTAGTGAAAGAGACACAGACGTGACATCTTTCCCCCAGGGGATCGCTTCTTGCCTTCCTTTAAAGAACTGGAACTCCCAAGGACCAAAACACTGCAAATAACTAAAAATAAGTTTTATTGTTCACAAAGAGTTATCCCTTTAAGGCAATAAGCTGGAAGTTTCAAAGGGGGTAAAGGAAATATACATTACAGTCTCTGGTTGTCTTGGGTCCAAGGAGTTTTGCAGCTGAGAAGCTTTTCCAAGTCCCTCTTTCTCAATGGCTGTGAATATCGGAATAATCACAACCCCAATTCCAATGGCCTATATTTTGAAGGCACAAAGCCTTCCTCTGGTGCCAAAGAACTGGTTTGAAGGCGCTTGAGACTTCTCAAAGTTGTCCAGGTTGCTCTGAACATGAAGCATAAGTCTCAAGGGTAAAAACCTCAGAATTGGTGCTGAGAGGTAACTTAATCAAGGGCTTTCAGAGCCAAGTCTCTCTCTCACGTCCATCTGATAGAAAGTTTGATGGTAGAATGGAAAAGGAAACACTGTCCTGCTCTCTAGGAAGAGGTGGGGGTCAAACAATTGAGCAGGAGGAGCAATTCGACTGGTGCAAACAACATTGATTGACAGCTATAAATAACCAATCAATCCAACTATACATTTACAGGGTAAAAAGGCAAAATCAGGCATGATACAACAGTTCAAATCCTGCAACTTACAGTTCTACATATAAGTGGCGCCACTCACAATCAACAACCCCAATTCCAATGGCCTATGTTTGAAGATACAAAGTCTTCCTCTGGTGCCAAAGAACTGGTTTGAAGGCGCTTGAGACTTCTCAAAGTCGTCCAGGTTGCTCTGAGCATGAAGCATAAGTCTCAAGAGTAAGAACCTCAGAATTGGTGCTGAGAGGTAACTTAATCAAGGGCTTCAGAGCCAAGTCTCTCTCTCACGTCCATCTGATAGAAAGTTTGATGGTAGAATGGAAAAGGAAAAGCTCTGCCTTCCTCCAGGAAGAGATGGAGCCAAACAATTGAGCTGAGGAAGCAATATAACTGGTGCAAACAACATTGATTGACAGCTATAAATAACCAATCAATCCAACTATACATTTACAGGGTAAAAAGGCAAAATCAGGCATGATACAACAGTTCAAATCCTGCAACTTACAGTTCTACATATAGGTGGCGCCACTCACACCATCACATATTCCAATGGCCTATGTTTGAAGATACAAAGTCTTCCTCTGGTGCCAAAGAACTGGTTTGAAGGCGCTTGAGACTTCTCAAAGTCGTCCAGGTTGCTCTGAGCATGAAGCATAAGTCTCAAGAGTAAGAACCTCAGAATTGGTGCTGAGAGGTAACTTAATCAAGGGCTTTTAGAGCCAAGTCTCTCTCTCACATCCATCTGATAGAAAGTTTGATGGTAGAATGGAAAAGGAAACACTGTCCTGCTCTCTAGGAAGAGGTCAAACAATTGAGCAGGAGGAGCAATTCAACTGGTGCAAACAACATTGATTGACAGCTATAAATAACCAACCAATCCAACTACACATTTACAGGGTAAAAAGGCAAAATCAGGCATGATACAACAGTTCAAATCCTGTAACTTACAGTTCTACATATAGGTGGCGCCACTATCAGTGTCATTTCGAATTGGTGTGTTTTTACATCAATTTATTGCAATATACTCACCAGTCAGTAGCACGGCTGCAAAAAACAGGGCAAAGGACCTCATGGTGGCTGTTCGGCTGCATTTGGAAAAGCAATGGGAAAAAAATGATTAGTAAAAGGCTGGGACAAAAGGAAGACCTCAACCATAGACAGCTACGGGTGCATCTACACTGGAGTTAATGCAGTTTTGAACCACTTTAAGCGCTGTGGCTCAATGCAATGGAAGAATGGGATTTGTAGTTTGGGGAAGACGGCTAAAGCTGGGACATCTAATCACCCCTCAACAAAAGATTGCTCCAGGCAACCTCCTATCACAGGACAGTAAGACAAAGGACCTGGCCTCTTGGGGCCAGACAAAAATGTTAATTCAAGAGACAAAAACAATAACTCAGACCAGGCTTGAGAGCCTGAAGCTATTGCCTGGTCATTTGGCAAACACCAGCCATTCTTAATCCAGTCACCTGGACACTTCTTCACAGAAATGCTGGACCACTCTCACAACCACTACACAGAGAAGCCATTGAAATCCACAAGGAGCATGTGGACAATGCCAACAGAAAAGAGGAAACCATGAAAATGAACAAAATCTGGCTACCAGTACTAAAAAACTCTAAAATTAGAACAGCACAACAACAGAGAGGAAACAAACAAGGGCATCTAATCACCTCTCAACAAAAGATTGCCCAGGCACTTCCAGGCAATCAAATGCTAATCAAGGTGGTCAGTTGAAACATTCACACCTAGCTCCAACAGACAAGAGTCCTTTGTCCCGCCCTGATCATTCCACAGATATATAAACCCATTTTCCTAGTTCGAACAGACCTCACTACCTCTGAGGATGCTTGCCATAGATGCAGGCGAAACGTCAGGAGAGAATGCCTCTAGAACATGGCCATATAGCCCGAAAAGACCTACAACAACCCAGGAAGTGTTGTGGTTGATATATTTTAATACTATTACTTATACTATTACTGAGTTGCCTTCAGGCTGCTATGGGCGGAATAAAAGTGACGTAAAGGACATAAATATTTTATTATATTATATTTTAATACTATTACTAATCTATTATATTTTAATACTATTACTATTAATACTATTAAATACTATCAAGTACTATTACTTATATTTTATTCTATTATAATTTATTTTTATTTATCGTGTCATCAGCAACCAGATTTTATTAAATTTTAACAAAAACAAACACACAAAACACAGAATTTGCAAGCTTTTTATAATTTAATAGTAATAGAATAAAATATAAGTAATAGTATTGGATAGTATTTAATAGTATTAATAGTAATATTAATATAATATAAATAGTACTATAAATAGTATTATAATTTAGTAGTACTATTTATATTATATTATATTAATATTACTATTAATACTATTAAATACTATCAAGTACTATTACTTATATTGTATTCTATTATAATTTAATAGTACTATTTATATTATATTATATTAATAATATTACTATTAATACTATTAAATACTATTATTTATATTATATTATATTAATTTTACTATTAATACTATTAAATACTATCCAATACTATTACTTATATTTTATTCTATTATAATTTAATAGCACTATTTATATTATATTACTATTAATACTATTAAGTACTATTACTTATATTTAATTCTATTATAATTTAATAGTACTATTTATATTATATTATATTAGTAATATTACTATTAATACTATTAAATACTATTATTTATATTATAATTTATATTATATTAATATTAATACTATTAAATACTATCCAATACTATTATTTATATTTTATTCTATTATAATTTAATAGCACTATTTATATTATATTAATATTAATACTATTAAATACTATCCAATACTATTACTTATATTTTATTCTATTATAATTTAATAGCACTATTTATATTATATTAATATCAATACTATTAAATACTATCCAATACTATTACTTATATTTTATTCTATTATAATTTAATAGCACTATTTATATTATATTAATATTAATACTATTAAATACTATCCAATACTATTACTTATATTTTATTCTATTATAATTTAATAGCACTATTTATATTATATTAATATTAATACTATTAAATACTATCCAATACTATTACTTATATTTTATTCTATTATAATTTAATAGCACTATTTATATTATATTAATATTAATACTATTAAATACTATCCAATACTATTACTTATATTTTATTCTATTATAATTTAATAGCACTATTTATATTATATTAATATTAATACTATTAAATACTATCCAATACTATTATTTATATTTTATTCTATTATAATTTAATAGTACTATTTATATTATATTATATTAATATTACTATTAATACTATTAAATACGATCCAATACTATTACTTATATTTTATTCTATTATAATTTAATAGCACTATTTATATTATATTAATATCAATACTATTAAATACTATCCAATACTATTACTTATATTTTATTCTATTATAATTTAATAGCACTATTTATATTATATTACTATTAATACTATTAAGTACTATTACTTATATTTAATTCTATTATAATTTATTTAATATAATTTAATAATATTACTATTAATACTTTTAAATACTTTTAAATACTATAACTATTAAAGGGAAAGGGAAAGGTTTTCCCTGACATTAAGTCCAGTCAGGGAAAACCTTTTATTATAATAGTAGAATATTTTAATATGATTACTACTAATACTATTAAATGCTATCAAAGACTATTACTCATATTTTAATAATATAATTTATATTATATTATTATATTTTAATACTGTTACTTATATTATATTATTTTTCATACTATTATTTATATTATATTATTATATTTTAATATTATGTTATCATTTACATTTTAATACTATTAGTATCAATAGTATGAAATACTATTCAATACTATTACTATTACTTATATTTTATTATATTTTAATACTATTATATATATTATATCACATTATTATATTTTAATACGATTACTTACCCATTACATTTTAATAGTATTAGTATTTATAATATTAAATATTATTAAATATTATTACTATTACTTATATTTTGTTATATTATATTTTAATAGTATTACTTATCCCTTACATTTTGATGCTATTATTATTAATAGTATTCGATACTATTAAATATAATTACTATTATTTATATTTTATTATTTTATATTTTAATGCTATTATATTTTATTATATTTTGATATTTTATAATATTTTAATATTATATTTTTAGTATATTTTAATATTATATATTTTTTAAAACTCCATCCAATGCTGGAGTTTAAAAAATGCCAGACAATTGATTCAATTCAATTCAATTGAAAACTGAAAAATGAAGCAAATAATCTCAGCAACCCTTTATGGTTTCTTCGGTGCCAAACTTTTTTAAAGGAAAGCAAACTGGTTTGGAACAAGCTTCCCTTCAACTTCTCCATCCCTCCCTCCTTCCTTTCTTTTCCCCCTTTTACCTTTCTCTCTCCTTGCTGCTGGACCCAGGGACACTCTGTCCGGCCAGAGCAAGAGCCCAGATTTAAATAGCTGCTGCTGGCCCAGCTGGGTTGGAAGGAGGGAAAGGGGGAAGGAAGGAAGGAAAGAAGGAGGGAAGGAGGTGGGGCGGGCAGAGTCAGCAGCTGGAGCCAAGGAAAAAGTGCCAGAGTGGTGGCCCCGGGGACAAAGGTCCCTCTCCAGCATCATACCCTCCTCCTGTTTTGCTGCGGCTGCTGCAAAAGTCTTAACCCTGAGATCACCGTAGGTTGACCAAAGAGACACACATCCATCATATCCACCATATATCCAACTAGATCTATGATTCTATGTGTTTATTGTCTATCTGTCTGTCTGTCTGTCTGTCTGTCTGTCTGTCTGTCTGTCTGTCTGTCTATCCATCCATCCATCCATCCATCCATCCATCCATCCATCCATTCATTTTCCTATATGTCTCTTCCTCTCTATCTATATCCATTCATCCATCCATCTATCTATCCATCTATCTATCTATCCATCCATTTATTTTCCTATCTGTCTCTCTCTCCATCTATCTGTCTGTCTGTCTGTCTGTCTGTCTGTCTGTCTAGCTAGCCATCTAGCCATCCATCCACCTATCCATCCATCCATTCATTTCTATATGTCTCTCCCTCTCTATCTATATCCATCCATCCACCTATCTATCCATCAGTTCATTTTCCTATATGTCTCTCTCTATCTATATCCATCCATCCATCCAGCCATCCACCTATCCATCCATCCATTCATTTTCCTGTCTGTCTGTCTGTCTGTCTCTCTCTCCATCCATCCATCCATCCATCCATCCATCCATCCATCCATCCATCTATCCAGCGATCCATCCACTTATCTATCCATTCATTTTCCTATCTCTCTCTCTCTCTCTCTCCATCCATCCATCCATCCATCCATCTATCAGTCTATCCATCCATTCATTTTCCTATCTGTCTCTTTCTCCATCCATCCATCCATCCATCCATCCATCCATCCATCCATCCATCCATCCATCTATATATCTATCCATCCATTCATATTCCTATCTGTCTCCCTCTCCATCTATCTATCTATCTATCTATCTATCTATCTATCTATCTATCTATCTATCTATCTATCCATCCATCCATCCATCCATCCATCCATCCATCCATCCATCCATCCATCCATCCATTTTCCTATCTCTCCATCTCTCTCTCTCTCTCTCTCTCTCTATCTATCCAGCGCCGTTATATAGACAATCTCCAAATGTCTAGAATTGCAATCCCTCAAAATGGAGAACTTGGAAATAATCGTGTGCTTGGGGCTCTGCAAGGAAAGGGCTAGAACCAAAGATTTTGCAGGCTTGGAATCTGGAGACCGAAGGGAGACGTAGTTCTGACCTATCTGCTGCCATGGGTGGCGAGTTCAGATGCTGCTGGGTCACAAGTCAGGGCTGTTGTTTTTGCATTCCTGGCTGTGGTCTGGACATGCAAGGGGCCTGCATGGGACGTTTCCCCGAGGCAGCAAAATGCTTTGCATGGGCGAGGATGGTGCAATCCGCATGTGATTTCAGGAGGAGAGATAAAAGAAGCCCCGGAAGCCCCTTCCCTGGGGTTCTTGGGCCTGACTCAGAAGCGGAGCCCCATTCCTCCCACGCAGGCAGACTTCTGCAAAGGAAAGGACAAGTCGGCACAGCTTGCTTTTCATGTCCTAACACTAAATAATGATACGTTGCATCACTTGCAAGATTTTGCAGATTGCAAGAGGGACCTGGGTGGGCAAGCCAGGGCTCAGCACAATACTATTACTACAACAACTACTAATCTATATAAATAAAATGTAATGTTCATTTGTGGGATTAACATAACTCAGAAACCACTGGACAAATTGACACAAAATTTGGACACAAGACACCTAACAGTCCAATGAGTGTTCATAACCCCTAAAAATACAAGAAAAGAAAAGAAAAGACAGCAGAACGAACTTAAAAGCCCCCAAAATACACCATACACACACACACACATACATATACACATATACACATATGTGTATATATATACCCAAGCACACACAAATACACACACATACATCTACATACACACACATATACATATACAAATGCACACACAAATATACACATGCACACATACATACGCATACATACACACACATATAAACACAAATATACATATAGACAAGCACAGACATATATACAATATACATATACACATATAAACACACAAATATATACACACATATATACACATCTACACACACACAAACACATACACAGACTGGGCCACAGCAACGCGTGGCAGGGGACGGCTAGTCTATATAAATAAAAATGTAATGTCCATTTGTGGTATTCACAGAACTCAAAAACCACTGGAGGAATTGTCACCAAATTTGGACACAAGACACCTAACAACCCAATGTATGTCCCATTTGTGAGCCACACAAATGGGACTTTCTTTGTCAATTTGGCTCTCAGTTTTTCCCAGGAACTGTCCATGGAGAGCATTCTTTGGCCAGTTTTCACTTCTGCTTATTATTATTATTATTATTATTGATATTATTAATTTTACTGACACAAAAGCACAGTATGTCACAGCAAACGAGATCTCTATGCTGGATTTCGTATCACAAAATCACAAGTCGAACACTTCCCAAGCGTCTAGGACTGTGTGATGTATATTATTATTATTATTATTATTATTATTATTATTATTGACACAAAACACAGTATGTCACAGCAAATGAGATCTATATGCTGGATTTCGTATTCACAAAATCACAAGTCGAAACCTTCCCAAGCGTACAACTATGTGATGTATTATTACTACAAGGGACGAGCATTCCAGACCTCAAATTATAATAAGGGAACACTGTTAATAATATAGGGATATAGTAATAATAATATATTATATTATATATAATAACTAGCTGTACCCGCCACGTGTTGCTGTGGTCAGCTTTCCCTCGCTCTTTTCTCTCCTTCCCTTTTCTTCTTTCCTTCCTTCCTTCCTTCTCTACTTCTTTCCTTCCTTCCCCCCTTTTTCTTTTCCTCCCTCTTTCTCTCCTTTCTTCCTTCCCTCCCTTTCTCTCGTTCCTTCGCTCCCTCTTTCTTTCCTTCCTTCCCTTTTTCCTTTCTTTCTCTCCTTTCTTCCTTTCTCTCTTTCCTTCCTTCCCCCTTTTCTTTTCTTCTTTTCTCTCCTTCTCCTTCTTCCTCTTTCCTTCTCTCTTTCCCTCCCTCTTTCTCTCCTTTCTTCCTTCTCTACCTCTTTCCTTCCTTCCCTTTTTTCTTTTCCTTCCTCTTTCTCTTCCTTTCCTTTCTTTGCTTCCCTCCTTCCTTCTCTCTTTCCTTCTTCCTTCTCTCCTTTTTCTTCCTTTCTTTCTTCTCTCCTTTTCCTTCTCTATCTCTTTCCTTCCTTCCCCCCTTTTCTTTTCCTACTTCTTTCTCTCCTTCCTTCCTTCCCTCCCTTTCTCTTCCTTCGCTCCCTTTCTTTCCTCCTTCCCTTTTTTCTTTCTTTCTCTCCTTCTTTATCTCTTTCCTTCCTTCCCCTTTTCTTTTCTACTTCTTTCTCTCTTCTTCTTCCTCCTTCCTCTCTTTCCTTCCTTCTCTTCCTTCTCTTTCCTTCCCTCCCTCTTTCTCTCCTTGTTTCTTTCTTTCCTTCCCTTCCTTTTCCTTCCTTCCTTCCTTCCTTCCTTCCTTCCTTCCTTCCTTCCTTCCTTCCTTCTTCCTTTCTTTTTTTCTGCATCGTCATTTAGCTTTTTAGGGTTTTAAGTCCTTTCTGCTGTTTTTCAGTGTTGCTATGAGTGATGGTGACTTGTTGGTCTGTTAGGGGTATTGTGTCCAAATTTGGTGTCAATTCATCCAGTGGTTTTTGTGTTATGTCAATCCCACAAATGAACATTGCATTTTTATTTATATAGATTATTATTATTCTGTGATTACACAGTCTGGAGCCTTCTCTGCCCCAGAGGGTTGGTGCTTTGGCAAACTACATCTCCCAGCATCCAATAGCATTGAAGGAAAGTGGTGCCGAACCATATTCCTTTTGCAATATTTGATGCATTTGGTGCAATATGGATCACCTTCGATGCCAGCTTGACCAGGGCAAGTCGGCGCTGCTTGTGTTATTGGATCTCACAGCAGCATTTGACCCAGTCGACCACCATCTTTTCACCCACCGCCTTGTTGTTGCTGGAGTGAGTCAGGGGGAGAGCTTTAGAGTGGCTCCCCTCCTTTCTTCACAGCCGTGGACAGCGAGTGGAGAGGGGAGGCCTGGTCTCTGCGAGGTCCCCCCTCTCTCTCTCTCTTGTGGGATTCCTCCTCAGGGGGCCATTCTCTCCCCTCCCTTGTTTAACATCTCTATGCGACCACTTGCTCAGCTGGTCCGAGGTTTTGGGCTGGAGTGTGACCAGTACGCCGATGACACTCAGCTGGTGCTGAAGATGGAAGGCCGACCGGACTCTGTACCAGATTGTTTCCCTCAGTGCCTCGAGGCCCTGACTGGATGGCTGCGTGCCAGCAGGTTGAGGGTGAATCCAGCAAAGACGGAGGAGATCCTATGGCTGGGTGGACCGGGCAGTGGGGACGTCCAGCTGCCCACCCTGGATGGCGAGGCACCACGCCCGTCATCATTGGTCAAGAGTCTGGGAGTCCTTTTGGACCCTCTGCTGACGATGGAGGCCCAGGTCTCTCTCCGCCCTGAGCAGAACCACCTTCTTTCTTTCCCCTGCGGCAGGCTAGATGGCTGGCCCCCTCCCTGTCCAGGGATGACCTCGCTACGGTGATCCAAGCTACGGTCATCTCAAGACTGGACTACTGTAACACCCTCTACATTGGCCTTCCTCTGTCGGTGATTCGGAAGCTCAAGTTGGTACCAAATGCAGCTGCTCGGCTTCTTGCGGGAATTCCGATGAGATGCCACATAACACCAATCTGACTGCAGCTGCACTGGTTACCCATTGAGCACTGGATCACTTTCAAAGGGATGGTGCTCACCTTTCAGGCCTTGCATGGTCTGGGGCCAATGTATCTGAGGGATCGTCTCACCCCCTCCCAACCCCAGAGATCCCTCCGTTCTGAGGACCAAGATCTATTGG